TTACTGTCTAAAAAATCCAAATTAGGAACTTTACATTATTATTTTATAAATACAATGAGTTTTAAATATTTTTAGAGTGTCTTACTAGCATCAGTGCTAACTAATCGCTGTTAGTGTTGTTTGACATGAATATTTCCTCGAACAAGTTGAATAATAAGAATAATTTATCAATATAATTTTCCACTGATTGTATTTCAGCCATTTTATCTGTGATTTTCGCAATAACGTTGGACAGCGAAAGTCCATTGAACACTTACTGAGTTACTTATTATATTGAGTTACTTATTTCTTTGTCGAGTCTGAAAACTTCGCTTAAGGAGCTTAGGCTAAAGTTGTTACAAGTATTTTTACTTTTATCAACATTGTTGGGTTTTGGTTCATGTCTGTAAGCTATGTTACTGTTTCGGGTAATATTTACATAAGATAGGCCGTTAGGGAACTGAGAGAGTTGGGTGGCATTAATTGCTGTAGAATTATTATTGACATTTGTATCCACTTTTGTGTCGGTATGGATGCTGTTTTTATCCAGTTTAGGGAACTTACAGCAAACCCTGAAGTTGGCGGTATTCTTTACGACAGTCAGCAGAACCTGCCTATTATATTTGAAGGACATATTACACATCCAGACCCTTCGGAAAAATAAACTGCTTAGCGCAATTGTTCTGTTTTGTCACATGATATACAACAGCCAATCATCAACTCTCTTTGGTATTACCACGTAGACGGGAAACTGGATCTCCATTACAAATACAGATACTACTAACATCCATTCAAGTTCTTTAATTCGATACTGATAAGTTGAAAACATAAAATCTACAACTTCTTGAGGAAGAAAAACAAAGTTGCTCGCGTTCCTTGCAATGATAAAAGGGCAGAAAAATTGTTTGAAAGAGTTTGTCGTCCGACAGTGATGATATCACTATCCGTTCCGTGATAGTGATTTATGGACCAGAATTTTAATTCCGGATTGGCCTTGAATATCTGGTAATATGTATTCCTTTTTCTAAGAATGCAGTACAGCCATAGGTCCTGCTTTGCAACATCATGGTCAAGGGTTTTAAATGATGAATCGATGGTTTTTAATGATGGAAATGAATAATTCGGCTTATAAGAAACAGACTATGTATTTAATTAGCAAAGAATGGCTAAACGTTCTCTAAAACGAAGCCAGAAGAGTTCATTATAGCCGCCTGCAATTCAGAAATAATTCTGCTTTAGTTGCTTGCATATCTACACAAACAATAACTTTGATATCAAACAATATCAAAGTTACATAAACAATGCAACTCCAGTTTGGTATTAAACTAATAGCCTACTTCTAACAAATTAGACAAAGAAGTTTTTTCGAAGTATTGAAAATGCTTAGAAACTGGAGCAATTGCTCAAAACACAGCTCGAAAACGAGTTCAAAATTCCAAAACCACCTGCGAGTTCCCTTTGTTACCACTTCAACCCTTTGTCAAAACTCGCCAAACTTCTTTATTTATTTCCTTTTTCTTATTTTTAACTTTGTCTACCCCTTCCTGGGCGAACAAGAAATTTTTTTACTACCTTCTTCTTCTATTGTCGAAATAACAAATAGATTTATTTCTCTTTTAGTCAAAAAAAGTTTAATTTCTTTTTTCACTTGTGCTTTTTCGAGCTCGCTCGCCCAACCCCCAAGACAACTATGCTCTCCGAGTCTCACTCTCACGTATATATGTATCGCATCCCAATAAATCGATACATCGGAAACAAATAGTCATCTTTCATCGTCATCGTATCGGTCGCTTCGATCTAGAGCCGCGGAGGGACTTCTCCTTAAGGGGAAAGACAGGAAAGGGAATGGAAAGGAAGAAAAAATAACACCGGAGTAGAGTAGTTTTATCGCTGCTTTCATATTAAAGAAAGCTTTTGACGACAAAAGGTTTTGTACTTGCGCTCTAAAAGATTCAAATTTAAATTCTGAATTTGATTAGTGTATAGATGAATACATTTGCCTGATGAATACACACAAAATAATGATATTCAATCTTTTACAGATGGATAGATTTTTCATATCATGCAAAGTAATGATAACGTTATGCATTCGGAAATTTTGCAACAGTATTGAAATATGGCAGCAATTGTGAAAGTTTGAGTAGCCAGCATCAAACATAAAAGGAAATTTACGTATTTTAATTTTATCATCATCTGATATTGCCAAAGGAAGCTTTTCCAATACAGAAAACTTTTCATGTATTCTAAATTCCTTTTAATATAAAATTCGAAGCATCAGCTCTTGCTAGAATGAGCTTCAAAAGAATATACGAATATTGAAATATGCTAATTAAAAATAAATATGCGTTGCAAATATTTAAAATTTTACCTATCAACAAATGAAGTAAATATTTAAATTCGTGGATATAAAAAAGTACGGTGGAAAGCACAGAAAGTTTAAACATTGTAATTTTTACAAAATTGACTTCTTTAATTTTAAAAACACCCCCCCTCCAAAAAAAAGATTTTGAGTTATTTAAAACATTTTTGTAATTGAAAATACGTCTAAGAGCAACAGTTGCAAAAATACAGGCCGGATAAGGACTTTTCTCATACAAGTTGCATTCCTTTACATTCACATGTGTTTAAGACTAAGATATTTATTTTTATAAAACACTTTCGTCATAAAGCGAATTAATCGCAAATATCTTAACAATCATTAAAAATAAAGAAAACAGTAACTGTGGTTATCAACGCTCCAATATTTGTTTAAAATATATTATTTAAATTTCTATTCTATACCAAAGAAAATAATAAGGACAAAATTAGCTTCTATTTATGTACTTATATAATTATTCATTCTTCAATCGTAATAAAATATTTTTAATGCTCCTCTACATAAGTTTTGTTACAACACTGAAAGTGATTCCTTTATTCTATACTATTAAAATCTGCGTGCTTCTATTTGTTTGTTTGTGGCATCGTTTCCTCAAGAACAGCAAGCAGCTGAGTCCAGAGAGAGGTTCCCTCCCCGGATTCCAAAAATTTATGGAAAGCCATTTCAACCATTCTCATCTTCGTACGACTTTAATCAGCCGAATTAATTAAAAACTCTGAAAACACTAATTTTCGCCTTCATTTTTTCGAGTGGCAACAGTCTCGCCCGCTGGAGATAAAAATCTGCTTTATTTCGAGAAGCGTTGCCACTGCTAGCTTGCAAATTGCAGAGTTTCATAATAAGAAGTTTGTAAGTTTTACAAAATATGAAATAAAAATAGAATTGCTAAACATTAAATATATTATTATTATATAAGGTTATATTCTGATGTTGGAGAAAGCAAGCGATTGCACGTGACGTCATTGCATGTCGAAAATGTTTCGTTAATGTTAGCATTTTAAATAAACTGCTGATGTTGGCAACGTTCTTACTTCAAGTTAGGATAGCTGACTGCTACGTTAATTCTTTTACTGATATCAAGAAAAAGTTCTTATTTTACGTTTACTTTAAATCATGACGTCACGTATTAACCTGATGTTTCAAAAAGTTTTTGTTTCCTGGTTTGGCAACAAAAATATTTACTAATTGGCTATTGCTTGTAAAGAATAAACTAATTTCATTCATCCTGAACTGTTTTTATAAATTTTCTTTTCAGATGTACATAAAACCAGAAATTTTGCTTTGGCCTCACCCGCTCATTTGGCGGGCTTGTCCGATAGTTTATTTATAAATTTTGTATAAAGAGAAATACCTCTTTCTTTGCTTTTAAAAATACTATCATACTCTTTATTAGCTATCAGCACTGTTTCCTATGAACACCCAATTCAAACAAAATTAAACTTTAACGAACTACTTTTAAAATTCTTGAATATTTTAACAGAACTAATTTATCTTATTTCATATCAGCTGCTCGGAGCAGGAACTAGATCGTTTATCAATATCAAGGTAAGATGGTCACGCTCCTGCTGTCTCCAGAATTTATGCGATGAAAGCAGGAATCAATTTTGATGTCATTTTTCTCATCGGTTGTCATATTTGCATTACAAATTCTTCAGCAAAAGTATTGTAAATAATATACAACAACTACTACCTAAATAGGTTCTCCATAGAGATGCGATTCTCGCTAACTTGACGCCATATGCAAAACATAATCTACATAACATTTTATGAATTTTGCTTAAAAGTATCCATTTTTAAGTTTTTTGTATTATACAGAATTATTATATATTAATATTTTGTTTTCCATCATGCTTTAGTATTTATAAAATTACACATATTATTTATTTATTCCGTTTATACATATTTTGCAAAGGTATATTTAAAACTTGAAGAGTAAGGTGTCTATATTTTGTTCAATAACGATAAATATCAAAAATATTTTTATTGATAAATCGCTGTTTCTTTACTTGGATCTTTCATGATTTAAAATTATCTTTGTATTTAAGAATTAATTTACCTTACTTGGATTTTTAATGTAAAAGAAACACTTTCACTGATATGCGATCTTGAGAAAGAATTTTGCTTTAATGCTAAAACTGACAATATCACGGAAAATGACAAAGTTTTGCTACTAAAACACCTGCTTGGTTTAAAATTTATATCTTTAACTGAATTTAAGTTTCATTTTATTAGATTTCGAGCAATAATAATAAATACTAAATGGCTGGAAAATTCAAGAAAAACAAGGTAAAAGCGTGACCTCAAATTGCGAATTGTTAAGGCTAGTCATAGCTTTTATTCTTTAAGTAGAACTTCTTCATAACCATGACCCACCAGTGGCCGAGCAGTAGATTCGTTGAACACTCGGACTGGGTCTCGAATTCCGGAGAAGAGGCTGGGTGCATGGGCGTTTTCGTGGTTTCCCCCATGTGTAGCGTCTATACGAGTCAGTTTCCCTCAGAAAGTCCTCCAGTAAGGCGTCCCTCCCTTTAGTCAAATAGCTCTCGAGTGTTTAGCCATAATGAACACAAACCAAACCTCTCATCAGTTTTGTACGTATCCACGTACATAAATGGAATGAAAAGACATAGATGTTTAGACTTACCTCACATCTTGTTCTGTTAATGTTGGCTAGATTCAATCGAAAAACTTTATCCCTAAAGGAAATGGAAAAAAAATCTATTAATTACATCACACAAAAAGATAATAGATAAACTAATATTGTAATAATAATGCAACACTAATTCAGAATACTAAAAAAAATGAAATAGCATATTAATAAGAATTAGCATATTAAAAATCACAATGAAAACGAAAATATAGATTTATTATTCTTTAATGCGACTTTACAGATTTATTCTTCATCCTTATGCATATTATTCACAGCAAAAGAGACAGTTTTTTAACTCTGCTAATGGTTAGAGTGTCACATTTATGTCTTTTTCTCTAGTGTGTTAATCGTGGTATTAACGTACGCGAAACCAGTGGTTACCAGAAAATACACGAATATCGCATATATACAGAGACTGTATTTTTTAATTGTAAGCACTTTTTTGAAATCATAAATTATCGTCTGCAACTTGACAGTTTTGTTTCATGCAGAATGGCGCTTTTAAAGAAGCAATGGATTGAAGGCTATGTTTCTGCTCTTTCCGAAGAAAATTATTCTTATTTTAATTATTAAACAATGCAATTAACAAATACATATCCAAGGAAAAAATGGAATGTTTCTAAGTATGCAAAGGTATGATCTATAATGTTGAACGAAAATCTGCCAAGTCAATGTACAGTTGCAAAATCATTAAAATGTTCATTAACAACTGTAAACAGTGATCTGAAACTTAAAGAGGCGAAAAAATGTAATGTGCATCGTCTTTTTCTACGACACATCACCGAACGCAGAATTCTTTATGGAAAACATTTATCACAACAAAAATGGAAAGCTTTTGTCACACTAGATGAATCTTGAGTGTATTTAAATGACTGAAATAAAAAGAGGTTTATTATCATCAAAGGGGAGAAAAAAGTCTTAAAACGTCTAATCTACGAATCTAAAGAAAGGTATGTATTTTGTAATGGCATGTGTTTAATAAAAAAGAAAGTGAACTACTACTAAATATAATACAAACAATGTAAATCACGTATCGATTTATATTTAGCAGCGCAATAATTACTCTCTCCCAAATTTTCATGCGTTATCTTTACGCATCACCAGCATAAAGCACGTGACATTTTATAAAAAACTTACGATGCTCTGTTCCTTTAAATAGTGCGCGTAATGCAAAGCACTATAGTAATTGGAAAATAAATTATATTTATATATTAGATGTATTATATATCTATTATATTTATATAATAGATATAAATATACATCTTATAGCGCATAAAATGGCAAAATGCTGTTATAAATAACCGGTAAACAAAAGACATATCCCACGAAAAAAAAAAAAAAAAAAAATTCCGGTTTAATTATGAAAGGCTCTTCGAATGTCAAACCAAACAAATTTTTATTACTCCATTTTATTGAAGGCACCGGAGAAAAAGAGAAAGAGGGGAAAATTAAAAAAATAATATATTTTTCTACTACAAAACGATTAAAATGTAGGGTGATTCACATAAAAGCACGCAACTAGCCGATTGATAGCGATATATCTAAGAAAAAATAAAATTTATTTTATATTATTTTTTCAGCCTTGTTTCCATTTCTTATTTTCCTTTATAATATTAAATGCCACAAATATATTTTCACTTACGTCGGAGTATATCTAATAATCCTCTTCATATTTCCTACAAATCCAGAAGAAGGCATAATGAAATTTAAAATTTGATTTACAAAAACCAACTCTTGTTTCAAATATTAAACAAAAAGAACAAAAGAAATAGTCCGGAGAAAGAACGTTCTAAAGTAACCAAAGCTTCGGGCAATTAACATTTGGAATACTTTCAGGACTGATTCCACAGCACACAAAGATTGACTTAATAAGCATTAAACGGCTGTGATAAAAATTCAGCTTAACAAGCCTCATGGCACAAAATTAAAACATTTCCTTTCAATTCGACGTTTTTGGGACCTCCTCAGAAAGAAGAAAATTTCAATTGAATTTTAATCACTCCATTTGGTAGTTAGAGTGCTTTCTTTCCCACGACCTGAACAAACAATTTCTCCAAAAGCTCTTCTATTTACATTCTACTTCGGAGTTGACACAAGTAGACACAAGGGTTCTTGGCGAAAGCTTCATTACTGGAATTCTTTAATATAATAGAAAAGTAACGTTTGCACAGCATTCAAAGTTTTGCTGTACGGTAAAAATTGAAAATTGCTTAGATGAAAGATTCTAACAACTGTTATTCTCTGGAAGTATAAGCGGAGAGTATGAAGTTTTAAATTATGATTTCAAAAGGGGAATATATGAGAAAAGTCAACAGAAATTCGCGTATTGACTTTTTTCATTAGTCCACTTTTTTGAAAAAAAAGTTATTATTCAGAGCAGCTATGGTAATAATTGTTTGTATGTTTGTTTACATCTACAACAAAATAATCATAATTTGCATTATTAATTTTTTCTCACCTATGTTGCTCAAATTGAGTTGGTTATTAAACTTGCCATCTGGGGACGAAACCAATAAACGTATAATTAGTTATAATTGCATGCAACTGGCTTGCTTTATTTAGACGCGATTACATTTTCCCCATTTAGCTGCAGTTAAATCTCATTTTCTTAGTTTTTTATTAACTATAATCTAATTTAGAAATTTAGTTTATTTATAGCTGCGTATTTCTATTAACTTTTCCAGTTCCGAATTTTATTATTTGACTACAATTTTGGCTTTTCTAAACTTTAAAATGTAGAAAATATAACACTTAATTTAATGTATTAAAAAGATAAAAAAAACTACAAGAACTTTACTTTTTTTACAAGCATATTTCAAATAAAACTTCGCAGGCAGTGTTCTTTTTTTTTTTTTTTTTTTTTTTTTTTTTTGTAATAGTAACTCCGTTCTGAGCAATAAGATTTCTCCATTATATTTTTACGCATTATTTTACTATTTCATATCCATATTTCACTCTTGCGACATTTCAGTCTTTTCCTTTCCACTTCATAGAAATTAGGATTGTAAACAGTAACAAAATTATCTTTTAAGTTTTCAATAATTAATAGTGCATTTATTATTTAGGATTCATATAAAATTTTATTTAATTAGATCTATAGTTAAAAGTGTCCATAGCATTTATTTTCTTTTTACAAAATACAATACTATATAAATTTCATTGGGCGTTTTCTTAGTTTTCCTCATGTGTACCGTAAGTCAAGAGCCAGTTGCCCTTAGAAAGTCTTTCCTGAAGGCATCAATCCCTTTAAGCAGATAAGCCTCGAGTGCTTTGCCATAATTACATAAACAAAACGTATATATATTTCATATAAGTCAATTTATATATAGATCTATTTTTTCGAACATTTTCCATGCTTATGTCAATATTAAACTGAGAAAAAATAAAAATATGATAGTGATTTTTAATTGTGTTAAATGAGGAACAGAACTGTGGTGTCATAAATTGTCGTGATGCAGAAAAATACGTAACCGTAAGCAATAACAGCTTTGTGAAAGAAAAGTTCAATTTCAGCTAACCTAGGAACAATAAGAAATCCAAATATAATCAACCTTTTTAATAATAGGTAGTAATTATTATTTGCAGCACATATTCTATTTTCATATCTAAAGCATTATAATCTAATTTCATATCTATAAACGCATTTTTAACATTTACAGTCTAAACATAGCTTTCTTTACACTGAAAAAGTAGAATAATTTAAAGTCGTGCTTTGTTGCTATATTCGTTGTATTAAGATATCTAAAATGAAGTTTGTAGTATTTATGAGGTATATATCCTTAATGCTTACGTAGTGATTTCATTATTTTCACGTTTTCTTATATAAATTATAGAAATTAATATTAGCAGTATAAAATGCCACAGAAAAACGAGCCATCACAGATAAACTGTGGTCTTTGTCACCATTAGTATGCATGACGATGAATACATAATTACTATTTTATTGTAATGAGTTTGTGACAGTATTTAAGTTTAAAAGCAATTTTCAAGTACTTTACTTCACCACTTAATGTTGGCAACAACTTTTACATTTATACCCTAACGATTTTTGTCTATATATAAATAATTTTAGGGTAAAATTATATGTATAATTGTAGTATCTTTTGTATAAAGTAACATCAAATTCTGAAGAGCCAAAACTTTGCCGTAAAAATAGAATACATAGGCAAGCCATGTTTAACATTGACAAAATGGCTGTCTCTCTATATTGACGAGATATCGCCAAACTGGCAATTGCTTTGGTGACTAACTTTCGTCGCAAAATTTGGCGACGAATCGCCAAATGGTCGCCACATTTTGGTCCGGTCCATGTATAACTGTAATTGGTATTGTGGTAGAATAACTGTAATTGATCACTATTTGCAACTGTAAAAGTATCCGTATATGCCTATATCCGTATATGTAACTTTAACCGTATATGCCTCCCAGTAATTTCGAAAAAAGGAATTTACTAGATATTTCTTGGCGGCCGGGTGAAAACTATACAAGATCAGAGAGAACATCTGCACTGAATTGTTAGTTCAAAGCTAAATTCGGAGTATTGAGTTATCCGTGAGAGCTTCGCCTTTTAGTTCCGCTTTGCATTGCGTTGTGTTTAACGTTCTTAGTAGCTTGAAATGTAACTACTGATTGTGCTCTGTTAAACACTGAGAAGAGCTGTACGAGTATTTTTGTGGAAAGTTTTAAAAACTGTAGAGATATTAGATTATTTTGAAGCAGAAGAGATGAAAAATGAGCAACGCCTTCGCCGGGAATCGAGCCCGGACCTCTGGAATACGCGCCCAGCGTGCAAATCACCACACCAGGAAGGCACGTTGAGAAGGCGGAAGAAATACCTTATAGAAATTTAAAGTGTTTCTTTTGGCAAAATAAATTTTTCGAAGCTATCATCGATTTGGTGTGCATTTAATCCTTTACGAACCTGTGCGCACGTAACAATACTATTTTTTTAATACATTAATTGCTTAGTTTCCACATATCACATAGTTTGATGTCACATCTATTATCTACACACATAAAATTCTATGGCTGTTATATTTTTCTTAT